TGTGTGTGTGTGTGTGTGTGTGTGTGTGTGTGTTTGTGTGTGTGTGTTGGAGGCAAGATCTTTCAATGTAGCCAGACTGGCTTGTAGTCACTGTTATCACTGATTTTGCCTTTCTTTTCTTTTCTTTTCTTTTCTTTTCTTTTCTTTTCTTTTCTTTTCTTTCTTTTGGTTTTTCAAAACAGGGTTTCTCTGTGTAGCCCTGGCTGTCCTGGAACTCACTCTGTAGACCAGGCTGGCCTCAAACTCAGAAATCCGCCTGCCTCTGCCTCCCAAGTGCTGGGATCAAAGGCGTGCGGCACCACGGCCCAGCTTGATTCTGCCTTTCTAGTGCTGGAATTATACCACCATACTTGACTTCAGTTCACTTTTAAATTATTTTATAATTTGTATATGTCAATAGCTTTTGTGGGTGCTTCATTATCTCTGTTAATAAGGATAGATTCCTAGTACATTGTTGGATTATTTAGTTTGTGAGCACTCAAAGATATCAGCTATAGAATATTTATTGGATAATACCACTACCAATAGACCACGTGATGATAAGCCACATAGTGTCTCCTGTTTCATTCACTGTAAAAGTACATGTCAGTTTCTAGCCTTACAGAAATTTATCATTGTTCTTTCTTCTTTTCCAGGTAGATATCCAGTGGTGTCAACATGTAGTTTCCACAGTGTGTAAGGTTTTTGAGAGTAACCAGGAGATGGAAGCATTGGACTAAGGAATGGTAAAAGGCCACAAATAACAGTGGTTTTAACCAATATTTAATTGCTTTCTTGATTATTAGATTATTTGTGCATGCACGTGCATATGTGTGTGTATGTGCCTGCATTGTGTCTGTCTGCCTGCATGTGTCTGTCTGCCTGCATGTGTCTGCATTCGCACTCACTGTGTGTGTGTGTGTGTGTGTGTCTGTGTCTGTGTGTCTGTGTGTCTTATCTGCATGTGTCTGTCTGCCTGCATGTGTCTGTTCGCACTAGAGATTGGCCCAGCCCATAGTGCCTACTGGGCAAGTATGTCATTACATATATATAATCAATCTCCAACTCAATCATTGCTGTTTGGGGAAGGTTATTATTCTGCCATTTGAAAAACACCTATGCATAGGCTTTATTCTATTTAGGTTATAATCAATTTGTATATGAATTAATAATCTTGCTATGTGTGGATGTTGAGTCAGAACTTCTTAGCAGTGTTCAGGATTTATGATAATGTTGCTTGTTCTCAGATTTCTGATTGGGTTGAAAGACTATGTATAGTGTCATAGCCAAACCAGGCAATTTAACATTGAGAAAATATATTTGAGAAGATAGTTTTCAGTATACAAGCTAAACCAGGACAGAACATATGGATTTATAAGTCTTTTAAGTTAGGATAGATGACAGAGTGTTCTAATTGATTGTCAAAGATGATAGACTGGATGTTAGGTGTATCTTATACTTTATAAATTACAAAAATGGTAATAAAAAAATAAGAAAGCAAACTGAAAAAAAAAGAACTATATGGTTTCTTCTTATATCTTGAGAATTTAGCTGAGGCTAAACTGTGTGCTCGTGAGCAGAATATTGGATGAGTACCATTGATGCAGAGTAGCACCATGTGTTTTGTTCCTAACAGATAATTTCTTTATCCATGGGCGTGTAAGTACAGCTGAGCCATCCCATAAACCCCACAGATAAACAATTTCCACCGTCAATTATAAGTATTATTTCTGATCCCCAGGAATCTGTAAGATATGAGGAAGAATGTGATTAACTTAAATGCCTCATTTAACATTTCACTCAGAGGCTTTGTGCCCTTCCAGAATTTTCTAAGTATGGGCAGAATTCTCAGAATAAAATGTGTAGACACTGAATGAAATAATGCTAAGTAGCCACCAGGTGGCGAAATTGCATATGGATTTAAGCAGCAAAGGCAAACCAGCCTCATTCCAGCCTAGACGCCATGTTTATGTCTGTATCTGGTTTTCTGTCAGGGCTACAAAAGATGAAGTGGTGATTTTATTTTCTTTGTTTTGGTTTTAGAACACTTCCATTCCCGTCCAAGGCTGCTGTGGGAGCCATGTGCTGCTGTACCTGCTGTGCCATTACCAGGTAGAAGAAAGAAATGATACACAGAATGCTTCTAGTTCTTCAGCTGTTAGGATTCTACTTCTCGCATCACTGATCGTCCCTGGATTTGCCACCATAGGAATGGACTTAAAGTATGAGGAGAAAAGCAAAGCTAACATTTTTTGAGACACCAGATACTCTAATTAGAAATAGAGTATTATAACTTACTTTAATTACTATAAAAATATGAGAGAGACCTTGAAAGATTAATTTGTTGTTTTCTCTATCACTTTAATTTAGCCATTATTTACTAGACATTGCCAGTATCATTTCAAGTATAACTGTTCTAGGTCCTCAGCCCTGTATTATTTTCAGGCAACTTGAAGGTAACAGTCATTTTAGAATATTTTCTTCCATACTACTAGAAAATATAGACATTTAAAATGGCAATACTGATAGGGAACTTAAAATTCAGAATATTATAATCAACTATCTGGCCAGTGTTCAGACTTACTTGGTTGTGTCATTTAAAAAAAAAGTTTGCAGTTGGTTTATTTAAATCACGGTCCAGACAAGGTTTATAAGTTGGATTCACTTGAAGTGTGAACTCTGAGGCATTTTACGTAGAGGAAAACAGAGTAAATATTCCACTGAATCAGTTAGTCCTCCTGTTTAGGAAGCCATAATCTTTGTCCTCAAGAAGTTTTGTCTTGTGTTCCTATAATGCTTTATGAGTATATCCATCACAAGCCTTGTGTTATTAGTGTGTGCTTATGCATGAGTCCTCTCAGATTGTTGAAAACTTCATTTAAAGGCAGAGAGCAGTTCATCTTCAACATTGCACTTCTTATACCTAGCACAGTTACTGGTACATAGAAGGAAGCAGCATAATTTTCTTGAACTTGGGAAATGTTTATAGCATGGCTATGCCATGATAAGTTTTTCCCTAGAGATAGATAAAGGATGCTAGTTGTTTTAGAAATATGGACAATTGGACGCATGGAGGAGCCTATTTCAGAGTTCACACTAGTGAGGTTGAAGGTCAGAACTAGGGTGATGACAGTGAATATTAAGAAAAGACGGAATGGAGAGTTACTGACAGGGAAATTTGCACAATTTGGGAACCTTTTCTCTGTGGAGATGAAAAGCTTCAGACTTGGGTAATAATGGCACCCCTTGAAGAATCCAAGCAAGATAGAGAAGCAGGTTTGAGATAGGGGAAATCAGTTCCTTTTGGGCCATGCTAAAGTTGCCATGACTGCTAGGAATTTTTCATTTATCAAGATTTGGGAGATCAAAACTTAAGAGAAAAGTCAGGAGTGAAAATCAGGGCATCTTAAGGACATAGATGGGGCTTAAAATTATCCTTTGTCATTCACAGACAGAATATGGAGTGAAACAGGAAGTGAGACTTTAAGAAACCCTTACATTTATCAAGTAATTGAAGAATGAGAAACCCAAGAGGAAGATGGAAAAGGAATACTCGTAGAAATTGGAGGAAAACCAAGATACTGTGTTATCATTACAGCCAAAGGAGAGGCTTCAGGAAAGAACAAACTAGGAATGTGTGGCACTTTACAGTCAGTTAGGGAGATGACAATACGGACAAGTCCCATGGGGCTAAGATGTACAGTGTTGTGGCAGTAGGTGAGCCCAGAGGTCCTGATCCAAAATGAGCTTGATTTTCAGGTTAAAGGACTCTGGGCTATGTTTTGTAGATAGTGGAGAATCATCAGTGGTTTTCAGACAGGGATGACCTAGTCAGAACAAGGTTTTACAAAGGTTTTACATGCTGAGGTGGCATAGTGGATCCTATAGAAGAATGGTACTGAAGATAGAAATCATCAAAATGAAGTGGAGAGACCCTTGGGTTGTGGGGAGAGGTACCATCTTTGAAGATCCTTAGCAGATAAAATTGACAAACCCTAAAAGCTGTAGTGAATGAATAGTCAGTGTGCCATATTGTGAGCATTATTAATAACCACATGAATTATCTTGTCAAATCTTCACAACAAACTAAAGAGATAGATAAGCATCATTAATGTCATTTTGCTCATGGTAAAACAGGAACATAGAAATAAAGACATTGATGAATAGAACAGTAATTGAAAGAACCCTATATATGAAACTCTGGTGGTTTGGCTAGCTGCTCCAATAGATTAAACCTATGACCTTCCACAAGTACTCTGTTACTGACCTTATCTTCAGCCCTGTTTTATTTATTCTCTTATTTTTAGAAAAGATCTCACTGACTACCATAAGCTGACCTTGAATTTGTTCTGTAACCTAAGCCAGCCTTCAACTTGCTATCCTCCTGCCTCAGTCCTCCAAGTAGCTGGAATTAGCGGGCTATGCTTCTAGGTCTGGCTCTAACATCCATTCCTTCTGCGTTGATTAGCTGTGGGAAGTGAGAATGACACGAGTTAGCAGGTTCAGGTACAAGGTACCAGATATCCAAATCACAATGAGTTGAACAAGATGGAAATTTATTTCTTAAGAGTTTACTGTCCCATCCATTGTCTCCACAATATGATATTTGTCCTCAGGATACTAGAAACAACTGCAGCATGCACATTCACACTGTAAGCATCAAAATGCAGCACGGGGAAAGAGAACAGCATGGGGGATAGCTAGATGTCTCTGCTGTAAAAAAATAATTCAGTAATCCCAGCACTTGGGAGGAAGAGGCAGGTGGATTTCTGAGTTCGAGGCCATCCTGGTCTACAGAGTGAGTTCCAGGGCAGCCTGGGAAACCCTGTCTCGAAAAAAAAAATTCAGGACTGATATTACATGCTTGGAGTATGTAACTGCCACCAATTAAAGTTGAAAATACAGGAAACCTGTTAGACTTGTGTGTACATAGGTAGAGGTAGGGCACAACTTGTGGAAGTCAGTTCTTCCCTTTACCATTACAGTGTGTTCTTTTCTCCCACCATGTGGATCCTGGAGTTTGAAGTCCAGTGGTCAGGCTTAGGGGCATACCATGCCACCATGAGCTGTCTCTTGGACTGGAAATCAGTCAAAGTTCCATTGTTTGTTGTACTACCACTGTCCTGTCCAGCCATGCAATTCTAGTGGCGTTTTCCAATCACAGTGATTTGTCTCCCTAGCCATAGTTGATTTGATTGGTTAATGTATGGCTATGTCATCTAGGTCAGATAGTCCGAATTCTTCTTTTTTATTGTCTTTCTCTGGTTTAATAGGAAAAAAAAAGTGTGTTCTAGTATGTATTAGGCACCTAAACAATCTCAACCTCCCTCCCCCACCTCTCACTTATTTTTGTGTGGCCCAGCTATGGGGTATATGTTTGGAAATTTCTGGTGGCCTTTTTACAGCCATAGGAAGGAAACTTGTCTAAAAGAATGTCCTTTTCAGGCTGAGCAACTGAAAGCTTCCCATTGGTGTTCAAATCTCCAGTCTTGCTTGTACTTGAGTCCCGTCCACCTATGATGGATTACCTATGAGACCTCCAATAGATTCTTTCTTTTGCCTGAGTTTAAGTTGTGTTTTTGTCACTTGCAATCAGCAAAGTTCTGATTAAAGCTATTATTCTAAAGGAGAGTTTTGGAATCAGTGTAGATGTGTTTAGCATTTATGTGTCAGAAGAGTCATAATAAATAGTAACTAGAACAAAGAAGACAATTTGCAGAACTATTATTCTACCTGAAAACTGACAACCACAAGACCCACAACATCAGAGGCTGCTGTAGCCCTGGCTAGGTTTGCTTTGTCTTCTTCTAGATAGCTAAACAGCTACCCACATCTTCAGACTGGTCATCTCTATATGGTTGCAGGATTATTATTTACTATTCAGATGAGCATATTTCCCTCTATACCTTTTGGCATCATTATAAAGCTGCTTAAAAATCCTTGTCTGCTAATCTGCCATGTTGGTCGTCTTGTGATCAGTCTTTCTGAGTGCCTTTATTTTTCAATACCAGTTGCAGTTTCCTGTTTCCTGTGTAAATCCAATCATTCTGGCTTGTCTCATGGATATCATCTAAGACTGAAGCGGATACCCTTCTGTCCGCAGAAAGAGCATTGATATTTGTTTCTGTTTTAGTAGGGAGTCAAATAGATTGAACTCAGACACCACACTCCGCTTCTGTGAGAAACAACTGCAAGTGAGTTAGTTCCCTTAGCTTTATCTGGGCTATTTAGAGATGGTACTTATGTGTGCATAATTGAGAGGTCAGCCAGAAACCTGGGTGGTTCCTCTGCAGAATTTGTGCCCTCCCTATCAGGCTCCCTCCACCCTAGGATTTTACCTTGCACACTTCTCAGCTTGTGTGAAAACCCTGAACTCTGCTCTCCGGTCTTCAGGTCAGTAAGGTCCAGTTTAAGGCACCAGTCAGGAATGTGACTTAGGGCTATGTTGTGGCTAAAATGCCTTAAAAGTGGGGACACTGTCCAGCTCTGACCTTTTCTTTGAAATGCCACTTTTCTGTCACTTTCTTACTGCTTTGGGCTACTTGTCAATACTTGCAAGTAGCTTAAAAAAAAAAACTTTTCTCCAGAGTATACATTTGTTGTATCTGAACAATTTCATAGCAGCTGCTTGGGCACTGAGTGGAAATCACAACCTCTGTGGTCTGTGTTATATAATTTGAGGCACACACAGCATGCATACTCTGGAGGCACAGCAAAAATGTATACCTAGTGAGCTGACTGGTTTTATGTCAACTTGACCCAAAACTGGACTCATCAGAGAGGAGGGAGCCTCAATTGAGAAAATGCCTCCATCAGATCAAGCTGTAAGTCATTTTCTTAATTAGTGATCAATAGAGGAGGACCCAGCCCTGGGCTGGTGGTCATTTGTTCTATAAGAAAGCAGGCTGAGCAAGCCATGGGGAATGAGCCAGTAAACAGCACACTTCTATGGTCTCTGCATCAGTTCCTGCCAGGATCCTGCCCTGTTGTACAGTTCTTGCCCTGAGTTCCTTTAATGATGAACAGTGATATGTACATGTAAGCCAAATAAACCCTTTCTCCCCACATGCTTTTTAGTCATAGTATTTCATCACAAAAATAGCCACCCTAACTAAGACATCTGGCATCTGCATGTTTGATGCAGCTGATGTGACTTGATACAGACAGGGTTTATAACCATGTAAGGTAAATGTGATAGTTTCAGTTAGCATACTTGGAGGAA